GTGGCAGCCCGATGTGTAGCGCGCCACGTGATTGGCCGTCGGACCCCATATGCCGTGTAGTCCGTGCGGTCCGGGCAAGGGTTCAAGCTAGTGACATCACTTTCTCAACATCAGTGGGGGATGGCCTCGAGACGTCACTCGCCCGCCCTCCTCGACTGCGCGCGATCTCCAGCTGTTCTGCCGCTATGGGTATAGAGCAAGTCTTAGGACCCTGAGCGCTTGAAACTGCGGGTCCCAAAACAACGTGTTGCATGCTACCGTAGAGTTTGTCGGTGTGCCCTCTTTATAGGGCGCATCGCGCCTTCCCAAAGCAGGGTTTGCCTGAATTGCGCCAATTCAAGACGACGACTGCCACGCAATTTCCCTCATCACTGCCACCAAGCGCGCCATTCTAGTCCTCCCTTCCCAAATCAACCGCACCTTCACCACCACACCAACCTCACCACATGCGCAACTAAACAGCGACCCCATCCCCGCCATGACCAGCGTACTAAAAGGCGGCTTCGGCTCGCCCAACGGTGCGCCATTAATCGCGACCAACTCAGGCACCGAGTTCGTCAACACCGTGTGCCCACTCAAGAGCGCCCTCGATGGCTACGACAACACGCTCCCCTGCAGCAAGCAGAAGATCCACGTCCCGCAGAACTTCTGCGACGCCATGGCCATCCGCGAGGAGGTCTACGGCGAGCAGGGCGTGCCCCTCGAAGCCGAGTTCGACGAAGACGATGCCCGCAGCTGGCACTGGGTCGCTTATGCTTCCGTCGCCACACACTCAACCTACCCTCCCAAGACACTGCGCCGCTCCGACTCTGGCAACACTCCAGCTGATGACGCCCGCCGCGCCTCAGCCACCGCCACCCGCGTCCCCGTCGCGACCATTCGCCTGATACCCCCGCCCCACGGCCCAAACAAGTACGTCGAGGACGACAAGACGGACAAGCATGCCGATGCGGACCCACCTAGTGAGGAGCAGGAGAGTAAGCACCCTCCCGAGCCATACATCAAGCTGGGTAGGCTCGCGGTCCTAGCGCCCTACCGTAGTCTCGGCCTCGCGAAGCTGCTCATCAACGCCGCCCTCGACTACGCGGGCTCAAATCCTGATCTCATCTACCGGCCTCCATCCCCCACCGCGCTGGAGATGGCGCAGATACTCGGCAACAACAAAGAGCGGGAGATTACCTGGCAAGGCTTGGTCATGATCCACGCCCAAGCCAATCTGCAGAGCATGTGGGAGAAGCACGGCTTCCACGAGGAGTTGAAGAATGATGACGGCGAGGTTGAAATACCAGCAGAACCCCACTGGATCGAAGAGGGTATTGAGCATGTTGGCATGTGGAAGAGGTTGCCGATTGAGAAGAGGAAGAGGTTGTCGCTTTCTTCCCTGGAGTCGGGGTCTTAGAAGTTTCATTTCGTTTCCTTTTTGCTTACGCGTGTTTGATAGGTTCTGGCTGGGAGACGTTCCAGTTCCGAGGATCTACGTCAGGCCATGATGTTCACGCTCATTTTACGTACGGAGGATTCAACATTGCTTATACCCCACACTGCACGATTACGACGATACGGCCGGATTTCAACATTATCTGTTTTTGCGAATAGAAGAGGATGAAGAGGCAAGGCAAGGCAAGACATAGAGGCGTCATGGTTCATGGCTATAGAATAGTAACGAAGGCACTTTTCATCCACGTATTCCTTTCCAAGAGTCCCGCATCGTTCTCTCTTGTTCTTCCATCCCATTTCCGTCTCCTAGCGAGCTTTCATGTCTGGTAATGCGTCTTGGTATTCCTTCACTAGCGCGCATCCGGAGAAGCGAACTCGGGTCCTACGCAGTGCCTGTTGGTATACATATCGGCAACTTCTTGCCGTGCGGGTACTACTCGGCTCGCAACCAAGACATAGATGCAGACGAAGGCGCATCCCACCAGTGTGACCACGCACCGACCACACACCGGCCTCGTCACATTCACAGAACGTGGGCACAGTGATACAAACGACGCACTAATGTAATTCCCGCTGTCAGAAACATTTCACTCAATGCTTCCGCTAGATCTAGTCGCAATTCGATACCTTGCATACCTCCGGCGGAGGGGAGGTGGTGGCGATCTCTTCCCTTTACTTCTGTGCGTGTGTTTATCTGTCCGCCTGGCCTACAATGCCGGCCTTATTATATCTATGAGACGTAGGCACAGTTGTACAAACGACACACTGAAGTGGTTCCCACTCTTGAAACCATTCACTCGAAGGTTCCACTAAATCACGTCGCAAACAGAGCAATCCGGTGCCCTGCATCCTTCCCGTCCCCTCCCCTTTCTACCACGTCACAACGGAAACCCGCTGCTGCTCCACTGCTTCACCAATATAACTTCGCACCACACTCGCTTCAATGTCCTCAGACACCCCCACCAAACCCGCCTTCAAAGCCCATCTCCTCAAGCTCCTCCGCCTATGCACTCGACCCGCCGTCATGCTTCCCTCTCTGGGCATCATCGGCCTCGTCCTCGTCATCACACTCACAGTGCTCCTCCCCCAAAACGTCCACTCCATCGAAATCCCCGGCGCAGACACCAACCACAACTACCAAGTCGCCGTCTCCCACTTCCCCTTGACTGATTCGACAAAAAAAGATCCTTACCGCCCGGATCAAGACCGCAGGATCATGGTCAGCTTGTACATGCCTGTACCCAGGAAACAGTGCTCTGCGCTAGGCCAGCAGGAGTATATGCCGCCGCAAACCGCGAAGATAGCAAACGAGCAGTTTGTTGAAGGAAATGAGCGGGATGCGGGGGTTTTTGAAACGATGACTTACGAGTCTTGCGTTGGTAGTAGTAGTAGTGGTGGGGGCGGCGGCGACGTCAGTAAGGTACCTGTTGTGGTATTGGAACCACACGTCGACACGAGCAGATTGATGTATTCGACAACCGCGCGCTACATCGCGGCTAATGGCGCTGCGGTCGTAGTCATCGATCACCCTGGCGACGCGTCAATCGTCGAGTTCACGGCGTCGAGAACGCGGGATTTGGAGGTTGTGTATAACAGCGGGACGGTGCCTTTGTCTAATTTATCGCCGATTACGGAGTATAACGAGACGGTGGAAAATGCGGTTTCGACACGAATAGAGGATATCGCGTTCGCCCTCAGCCAAATCAATAGTTCCGCGTTACTCTCGCGCCAATTTCCTGCCCTGGACTTCACGGGGGGTTTAAACACGGATACGTACGGTGTCATTGGTCATGGTCTCGGCGGTACGGTTGCGACGAGTCTCAGTCTCTTCCCTTCTCTCCTCTCCGGTACAAACTCCTCCAAAGCAAGCAAAACAATCTCGCCCACAGCAAGCTTCTCCATCAACCTCTCCGGCACACCCCCCTTGCTATCAAACGATACTCAAAACACACCCCTCTTCTTCTTCGGCCGCGCGGATTTCAGGCGTGAAGACGATGTAAACTGGCCCGTTACATGGAGCCATCTCACGGGTCCGGCTACAGAGTTTGATCTCGACGACTCTGCGGTTTTCGACGCCTCTGATCTACCGTTGGTTATGGAGTTGGCGAGGGAGGAGGGGGGGAAGACGGGGGTGGTGGGAAGGGGGCTTAGTGGGGGGAATCCGGCGGAGGGAGGTAAGTCACGACTGTACGAAGTGCATTTGAGACATATACTGACTTCGCACTCCTATTTCTGCAGCTCGGGCTGTGATTTGCTTTTTGGAGAATATTGTTAAGGAGATGGTGGGGTTGGAGGGACAGGGGAGGAATATTGGGGATTGTATTAGGATGTTTGAGGGGGTTAGGCCGTATCCTGGGTATGGGAGGGGGAGGGGGGAATGAGAGGGTAGGTGTGTATGGTGTCAGGTGGGGTTGGTTACGATTGTATGGATTGTGGAGGGCTAGGGCTGGGGATGTAGGGAGAGTGTGGTACAGAATTGGGAGTACACGCTGTTGCGCTCGAGAAAGGCGAGGGAGTATGTGTTCGCGCCAGATAAGACGTCATTTCGCGGCTTTTTGTTTGGGGTAGAAAAGGTGCAGCAAGGGAGCGCAGTCGCTGCGGTTACTTAGGTATTCTTTTGCGGTTAATAACATTGCGATCCTAGGAACTATCGCGCATGTATTAGTAGTCTGTGGCAGCGCGTCTGTGGATGAGCTTCTTAGTGGCACATAAATCAAGGCAAAAGAAATAATGATACTAGAGCCTTCATTCACGCCAGTCACGCGAATGCTTGTTTTGTCCTAGCGTAGTCTTCAGATCTGCTGTATGTTCCCTTGTAGATCCCTCGTTTTCACCATGTCGGAAGTTTCGGAATGATTCCGCGGGGATGCAAAAATGTTCGAACGCAATGCACGGAGATGGAATCGCACATAGCAATGAGCATGAATCTCTGTACTTACGCACGATTATGACAACTCAACTACCGTGTATTGAACTACCGCGTATCGCACCTCGCCGCATACCCCACCTTTGCTGTGGCTTCTTAGTAAGGATTCGCCAAGAGCGTTGCAGATCCCTGTCAACAGGCTCGGACAGCCCACCTAAAGCGATCCAAAGCATGTCACATATCAGTCATCTCCGCCCTACCCTCTTGCGGCGTATATAGCTACCCATGTGCGCCCCTCCCAATGTTTGCCAGGACCTTCGAATCGACACTCCTCCCCATAATGGCGCAAATGGCTAGGATACGGGCGGGTCCGGCCGCGCTGCGACGAGCGGCTGGTGGCAATCAGATGTCACGTCCGCTTTCACGACCGCTTGCACACCCGACTACGCGACTGTCGATAGGCGCATTACGGTCAAGATGCATTGCGACGAATGCTGCGACCCAGGAACCTGATGTGGATTTCCCCGCGGGTGTTCCGCCTGTTTCGGTGCCGGCGTCGTCGAAGGTGGATGAGCGGAGGAAAGCGATTAAGAACGCGAAACCTTTTTCTGATTTCCTGACGGATACGTTCAATCGGCAGCATGACTATCTCCGCATCAGCATCACAGAGCGCTGCAACCTGCGGTGTCTCTACTGCATGCCAGAGGGTGCGCTTCCAATATCCGTACAGCAAAAGTACCTGCTAACAAACAACAGAGGGCATACCGCTATCACCCCCCGCCAACATGCTCACCACGCCCGAGATCTTCTACCTCTCCTCCCTCTTCGTCTCGCAAGGCGTGACCAAGATCCGGCTCACCGGCGGCGAGCCCACGGTCCGCCGCGACATCGTCCCGCTCATGCAGCAAATCGGCAGTCTGCGCCCGCGCGGCCTCCGCGAACTCGCCCTCACAACCAACGGCATCTCGCTGCACCGCAAACTAGACGCCATGGTAGAAGCAGGTCTGACTGGCGTCAACCTCAGCCTCGATACCCTAGACCCGTTCCAGTTCCAGATCATGACCCGCCGGAAAGGCTTCGACGCCGTCATGAGGTCAATTGACCGCATACTCGAAATGAATAAGCTGGGCGCGAATGTTAAGCTGAAGGTTAACTGCGTCGTCATGCGCGGTCTCAACGAGCGCGAAATCCTCCCTTTTGTCGAAATGGGCCGCGAGAAAGATATCGAAGTGAGGTTCATCGAGTACATGCCTTTCGGCGGGAACAAGTGGAGCGAGAACAAGATGATTAGTTTCCAAGAGATGTTAGACATCATCCGTACGAAATACCCTGGCCTAAGACCCGTCCCCGGACACAAAAACGACACGAGCAAAACATACGAAGTACCTGGCTTCGTGGGCAAAGTCGGCTTTATAACGAGTATGACGAACGATTTCTGCGGGTCCTGCAATAGGCTTCGCATTACGAGTGATGGGAACCTTAAAGTCTGTTTACATGGTAACGCGGAGGTGAGCTTGAGAGATGTGCTTAGACAGGGTAATAATGGCGAGCCTATTGATCAAGAAGCGTTTGAGCGGATTAGGCAGATCGAGATGGACAGACATGAGGGCCGGTTGAGCGACGAAACGGTGCTGGGCTGGGGCCAACGCGAGCGCGAACTCCTGGACGTTGTTGGAGCTGCTGTTAAGCGCAAGGCGGAGAAGCATGCTGATCTGGACGACTTGGCCAATGGGGAGAATAGGCCTATGATTTTAATTGGTGGGTGAATCTGGACTCCTTTCTCTTTTCTACTTCACGACCTTCGGGATGTGATTCCCTTTCGCCATTACTTGGGTTTGCTTTCACGAACAGTCATGGTTTGATGAGCATGATACCACGGTTGTCACGGCATAGATGGCGTTTTGAGCGATCGAGCTTCTTTCTTCAGACTCTACACTGTCGCTTAGACTTGGATAGTCGGCTATGCTATGGCTACATACACCAATCACATATCCGATATTGTCTTCATCTGAGACCGCACAGTCTGTGATGTACCTTGCTAACCCTCATTAGATAACAAGCCCTTGTCCAGTCTGGATTCCCAATGGCCTACATCGCGAACACCTTCCTACAGCCACTCCAACCCCTTGCGACCGCGCTCTAGCATACTCACCTCGCCACTCTCCTTCCTACCCAACCCATCCCACCTCACAACGACCTCCGTCCGCGCCTTCTCCACATCCCCCACCCCCTTCGCAAAGAAAACCTACCAACTCAAACGCCTCGCCAAAGCAAAGAAACTCCTAAAAAACATCGACACATCAAGGTCCACAGACGCCTTCGGCGTCCAACAGTTCCTAGAGGACGTCGAAGCACCTAATGAATCCGAAACCCTCCTGAGGGATATCGAGAAGAAGATTGCGAATCTACATCGTCGGATTGTGGAGGTTGAGAGGGGGACCCCGCTTGCTGATGGGACGCGCGCGCCGACGGTGGTGGTGGAGAAGGGATCGAGGGAGGCTGGTGCGGATGCGTTTGATGCTGTTGGTACTGCAGTTGGTAATGATGCGACGGGACCAACAAAAAGGAAAGGCAGACATGAGCGCGAGCGAGCGCGAAGACGCGAACAAGAAGGATACCGGAACGAGAAAATGAAAGAACTCGGCGTGCTCTTGGCCTCGTACAAACAACAAGCCGCAGTCGTCAAAGCCGAAGCCGAGAAAATGGCTGAGATGCGGAAGCGACGCGAACAAGTCCTAGCCAAGAAACGCTTACTACTCCGCCAACTACACGCACATGAAGAGGCGGAGCGCAGGGCTAGTCTCGTGCGTATATCGAGCCAGGCAGATAGGGAGGGTGGGTTGGCGGAGGGATTTGAGCTCGATGAGGTACTCGATGATGCGATGAAGAAGGTTAAGAAGATGCCGATGCATCCGCCGAGGGAAGAAAGGGTGTTTAAAGAGAGGGAGGTGAAGGATGTGGATGTGCCGAGGGCGAAGAGGCTTGTGAGACCGCCGGGGTCGGGGGCTGTGAGTGTGCTGAAGAGGGGTCGGGATGGGGGTGAGGATGAGGTGGTGGGGGATCCGATTATGGAGAGGGAACGAGATGGTGCTAGGGATGTTCTCATGACTGAATCGGGTCAGGAACAGACACAGACGACTGCTAGCGAACCGAGCAACAAGCCCTCTGCAGAAGAGCTAGTTGACGCGGCTGCTGACGACTTTGCGAGTTCAGTCGCAAACGCAGGAGATCCCTTCCCTGGGTGGGTGGGGGAGGCGGAGGGGAGGAGGTGGGGAGGAGGAGGGGTGGAGGAGGAAGTCATCAGCGGCGATATTGTCTCATCCAGATCGCTTCAAGAACAGGATCCGATCGACAAGTCCACCGCGGGAGATGTGGAAAAGCGAGTCGGTGTGGCTGCGGTCAAAGATGTGGCTACCCCCGTCGCAAATGCAGGATATCCCTTTCCTCCAGTATCCGTCCAACAAAAGACAGCAACGAACACTAGCAAACCCACCAAAAGGGCTACATCGCGCCCATCATCATCTCCACCGGCCTCCAAGGACGACCTCCGCCTCAACATTCCCCCCTCAGGCATCGTCCCCATCGACTCCACCTTAATCCTCTCCCTCGACTCCCCCGTCCCAGCCCTCCAAGCTCAAGTCCTCGCCCTCCGCAACCGCCTCAAATCCTCCTACCCCCGCATCGACAACCTCCCCTACGACGTCTGGACCTCGTCCAACAAACGCACCCTGCAAACCTGGCTCAAGATCCTGATCAGTCGGTGGAACGCGCGCTTCGATGATGTGGACGGCACGGGTCAGGTTGATAAAAGTGTTGTGGATGAGAGGGTCAAGGAGGTGCTGGATAGTATGGTGAGGGAACATGATTTGGGGAATGAGGCGGCGGAAAGGATGGCGATGAGGTGGCATGAGGCGTTTGAGCGGAGGGGGGATATGTGGGGGGATGCGGAGGGGAGGTTGGATTGGGAGGAGATGGAGGCGGGGGGGTTGGGGTTTTTGGGTGTGGAGACTGGAGAGCCCGATGGTGAGGTGCCAGTGCTGAAGCAAGAGGTGGGCGGGGCTGGTGAAGAGGTGGATGTCGAGAAGAAGATTGAGCCTATGCCTGTGAGGATGGCGGGGAGTGGCGTGACAACGAACGGGGTCATGGGGCGGAGGATGTATTCGACATCGACGAGAAGGGGGTTTTGGTCTTGGTCTAAGATTCTGGGGACGGATGGAAAAGACGAGAAGAACGAGAAGAAAGAGGAGGTGAAGCAGGGACCCACGGTAGACGCCATACCAGACAGTACGACCCAGCCCAAGGCCGCTGCTACACCGAACGCCAAACCAGTCGCGAAGATCGATACGAAAACGCACGAAAAGACCAACGTCCAACCCATTGCCAAACCAGACGTCAAGCCCGACCCAAAGAACCAACCCAAGCGCTCCACAAAGACCATCCCACCAAAGCCCGACGCCAAATCCGACGCAAAAGCAGACACAAAAGACCATACCGATCCCATTCCTCCCAAAAACATAGAGTACTCACCTCCGATGCATCGACCTTTCGGTCAGGGCCAAAGTCGTAAGGCCTTGCGGAATAGGAAGAGGCAAGCTAAGAAGGTAGAGGATGAGAGACGAATGACTGGGGCACTGGAGCGAGGACGAGAGGGCGGGGAGGAACAGATGAACGTCCAAGAGCAGGAGCAGGAAGTAGAGGATGAAGGACGACAGCCTGGCGCACATGAACATGCAGGAGTACTCGAAACCATTCAGCCGCCCCAACAGCCGCCAACGCCCGAACGCGCAAACGCCAAATTACTGCAATACCGAGCGGACAGCATCAGAAAGGCCGAGGAAATCTTACCTAAATCCGTGCCACGCACCCATCAAATCGTACCTAACCAGGATGCCGACACCGACACTGACAAACCAGCGCTCGCACGCCTCAAGAGAACTCTACAGTCCCCCCTGTCTGACCCCAGACACTCGAGACACGTTTCACTCGCGAAAGCAGCGCGAGCTGAACTCCCCGGTCCGCCTAGACATATCGTGAAGCCTCCGACAGACGGTAACGGCAAGGGGAAGGGTCCAGAAACGAAGTCGCTGCAGGACTTCTTGGATAGCATGAATGAGGTTGCTGCGCATTCGCCTTTTGAGGCGGAGCCGAGACAGCAGACTCGTCCTTTGTCGATGATGGAGGGGGGGATGGAGGTACCAGTGCAACTACCATCGTCCGCTCAACAACCCCCTCCACAAAGCAAACCTGCCTCCATATCCCCTTCTCCATCCTCTTCACAACCCCAACCCCAACCATCCCTCCCCCACCTCACACCCACCGGCTCCGCACACATGGTCTCCGTATCCGCCAAGGAACACACCACCCGCACCGCCGTCGCTATCGGCACCGTCTTCTTTACCAACGCCGTGCCCCTCCGCCTCATCCGCTCAAACGCCAACAAAAAGGGAGATGTGTTGGGTACATCGCGCATAGCCGGCATAATGGCCGCGAAAAAATGCCCAGACCTAATACCCTTGTGCCACCCCATCGCTCTGACGCATGTTAGCGTTGAACTACGTCCCTTCGGTGACGGGTGGGATCCGCGGATGACGGGAAAGGGAGGGCAGATGGGACATGGCGGTGTGAACATCGAAGCCAAAGTCCAATGTACAGGCCCCACGGGTGTCGAGATGGAAGCATTAACGGCGGTTATGGGCGCGGCGCTTAGTGTGGTGGATATGTGTAAGGCGGTAGATAGGTCGCAGAGGGTGGGTAACATTAGGGTTGTAATGAAGGAGGGGGGGAGGAGTGGGGAGTGGAGAGAAGAGGGGTGGAGGAGTTGGCAGGAATGAGTTGGTGATGGGGATGGGGATGGGGATGGGAGATTGTGGTGGTAATGAGGAGGAGGTCTGTGTGGAGATGAAGGTTTCTACGATTTGAAGTATTACTTGGATGGAGAGTTTGGAATACCGCAGCGACTGCTCTACCTCGCTCTACCCTTTCTACCCTAAACAAAGAGGCGCGATACCACGTCGTAATGAACAAGTCGCAAGAGAGCACTCCCTCATCCCTCCACCCCATGAGCGAGAATCCTCTCAGCATCCTGATACCATGATCAACCCGGCACCGACATCCCCTCCCGAAGAAGATGCGCATGCCACCTCCAACAACTCTTACACGTCACCTTCAAACACGGCTGCTCATACGTAATCTTATTCTGCCATTCCCCTTTCCGTTGTCTCTTTGATCCGCCGTAATGGAAGCGAAACAGCTTTACTTTGCAATTAGTAGAAGTAGGCTTGTTCTTTACGACTCCATCATTGTTCTTAGGCGGAGATAGAGCTAGACAACTTAACTTGAGTGTCAGCTTTCGTGGTGCGTTCTTTGTTTTGTGTAGTAGCGGGGTTGGGGGATAGTAGGCGTTCCATATGCGTGCCGGTATTGTAATTTTGAGCCTTGTATTGTTTGGCGAGGTGTGACGTTTGGCTGGTGTGGCAGGCTGGTAGTCATTCCATATCTCCTTTGGTATCCTGATCTTCAGTCCCATCATATCTGTGATCAGGTCGGTCATTGCGATGCTTTTACCGGGACGTCGGTTGGCTAGGCACGCTCGTTGCGCCGTGGAATTTGCTGTTTCCTTCATTTTGGCGGCTTGACAGATAGGTTGCCAGCTGAGAAGTTTGTCAGGGTATTTGTTGGCCGTTGATAGCTTGCACGTAGACGGCAAGCGACGGTGCTGTGAAAGGATGGCCGTTGGAACAAAGGTGTCTCAGATTGTTGAGATGAATGCCATTGTCTTGCACATAACCGGATGTGTCTTCCTCTAACGATATCCCATGTAAATGCACATGATGCGGCGCTGAATGCTGAATGACGGTATGAAAGCTGCAATGAAAAGCCCGTCTAGTCATAACACTGATCCCAGAGACCTCCACTTCTCGCAAAGCTCTGGCTCTCTACGAACTTGCTCAGCGTACATCTCCCATGTTTGTCGCCGCCGCAGAACTCGAGTGGGTGTACGCGATCGTTCACAATGACACGGACCGACTCTTCTTTCGCATGCCTGCACTGCAGCTTCTCCACGTAGAGTCGGGCTGCGAAAGGTACACTCCACGCTGCTGAATAGCCATGTGTCTTCTTCGTGTCCTCAATGGTGGTGTTGGACAGCGGCTTCGTCTTGTTGTAAAGCCCGAGCGCAGCCAAAACACCGCTGATGTCGTTGTCGTGGCTGAAGTCGGCGTACACCTTGCGGTCGAGCGGGAACGTCTTGGGATCGGAGTCGAGCGTGCGGTTCGTGTTGGTGTTGTCGTCGACAGGCTTGTTAGTCAGACGCGCCAACAGCTCGTTGACGTAGCCGACGCCCTGCGTGGGACCGAGCGGGTTGCCGACGCTGTATCCGTAGTACTTGCCCAGCGTCTGGAAGTAGTCATACTCGCGCCACTCCTTGACTTTGAAGATCTTACAGAAGTCGGACAGCTTTGCAAACGGGTGTGCTAGAGTATCGAAGGGGCACATGTCCATCAGGTAGATTATAGATGTCGCGCTGAGGTTCGTTCCGAGAGCTGAGTTGATGCGCTCTTGAATGGGCGGGACGAACTTGTCGGCCCAGACCTGCTGGGCCCTGAGTCCAAGACCGTGATGTGGGCCGCCCTCGAAGGCGGGACAGACATCGTGGGAGAGGGTGTTGTTCCACGTCGGCCCTTCTGGGATCACCACGTCGATGTTTCGCGGCTCCTCTTTCAGCGACTGCGCAACGCCCATAAGCCACTTTTCCGCTGATTCGACCACGCGATGCTGGCCCCCTGACCGCACGAAAGGTACGTTTCCGTCGATCAGCTTCTGGTATCGTTGGTAGAAGTGCGCCCCAGAGTTGACCATCTCCTGCCTTCCAGCATCTGTCAACTCATCCGCACCCAGGGTATAGTCATAATCCTTCAGGAACTCGAATTCCTTCGGGTACGATGTAGTTGTGTTCTGTATTTCGGCTAAGAGGATGTGGTACGCGATAGATTTGCCCAGTGTAGGGTCGCGACCGCCGTGGCGGGAGAGGACGTTCGCAAAGGTGACTTCACAGCCCTTGGGAGGAGCTACGTCGATGTCGGAGGGGACCGAGTACCAAAGCGAGTACTGTCCCCAGAAGTGCGATTTCTTCGGACTACATCGGTAGCCTTCGTCGATGGTGTCGCACGACTTCTTGGGACGAGAGAAAGTGAAGAGACTGGCGATTGTCAGCTTTGTGTGCTTCAGCTTGTTAGTGCGTCGTACCCATGGACGCAATATAGGACTACACATGCGCCAACCACAAGAAGAACCCGACGCCCGAAGCCCTTCGGTCGTTGTTCGCGTCGAGATCTGTTTGAAAGAGGCCCCTTCTCGCTCATTGGGAGCGGCGCATAGTCTTGCGAGCGATTGTTGCGCATTCTGTTCCACGCCTGCGTCATCTAATGGATGGTTTGGTGACGATATACGATACGAGTGGCATTGACGCGCTGCGTACTTCGGCACTGACGTATGGCCATCATGGTGTTTCGGCAGAAGCCGTGACCGCCAAGCCGACGCCCGGGCCCCATCCTCAAACTCCGCCAGCACTCTTCAATGCCTTCGCCTTTCACTCGCTGTCATCTGATCTCGTCACATATCTCCAAGCCCATCTCCAAGAACACGCTCTTGACGCGCAATCTCCGGCTAGATACGGTCGCGTCCGCTTGCCGACACCAGTTAGGCCTGTGTGCAATTGCGCGATGTAACGCCGTTCCGTCAGCGCGAGATAGTCGTCGCTACGGCGCCTGATTGGCTTCTACCCCATGTTTTGGCCCCTGTGAAGACCACCACCGGGCCTCTTATCTGTGGATGAACCACAAGTAAGCATTGACAAGCTTCCACCGACCTGGTCGCCATGCCTGTTCGGTGCAGCCGACGTCAATGGCCGCATGGCTAAGAGCACGGCTTCGCGCATCCTTCCGGATCGCATCTTCACGTCCATGTGTTTATAGAGACTGTCCGCTCCATCATCGTCTTCTGGTCATTGGTATCACGTCGCGCGGACCCGGTGGACGCCTGCATCCGACATCATGAAGTCTACTGAACGGCACACGCTGGACGATGAAGCCCAGTTGCAGGCACTCGGACACAAGGGCGAGTTGAAGCGCAACTTCAGTCTCTTGTCTATGCTTGGACTCGCTTTCGCCATCTTGAACTCGTGGACCGCGCTTTCATCGTCGATCGGACTGGCTTTGCCATCTGGTGGCTCCACAAGCGTCATCTGGGGGCTCGTAACCGCCGGCATCTGTAACCTGTGTCTGGCCGCATCGCTGGCCGAGTTTCTGTCAGCATATCCTACTGCTGGTGGACAGTAAGTACCTTCAATCAGCTTTCGCATCGTCATCTCACGCATCGCAGATACCATTGGGTCGCTGTCATCACCCCGCGGAAATGGGTTCCCCTCGCTTCTTTCATCACCGGCTGGATCAACGTATCCGGATGGCTCGCTTTGACTACCTCCGGAGGCCTCCTCGCGTCCCAACTCATTTCCGGTCTCATCGCGTTGTTCCATCCTGAGTTCACACTGCACGCATGGCAGGTCTGGCTGATTTACGTTGCTTGGACTCTCATCGCCTTCGTCATCAATGCGTTCATGAACAACCTCCTCCCCTACGTTAATCGAGGCGCATTCATCTGGTCCATCGGCGGGTTCGCGATCGTCTGCATCACAGCCCTGGCATGCTCATCTCCTAATTACGCTTCCGCCGAGTTCGTCTTCACCGAGTTCATCAATGAGACGGGCTGGCCCGACGGCGTCGCCTGGCTCTTGGGCTTGCTCCAGGGCGGTTTTGGACTCACCGGCTACGACGCTGTCGCGCATATGATTGAAGAGATTCCAAATGCGTCAGTTGAAGGCCCAAAGATCATGATCTACTGCGTCTGTATCGGAACTGTCACCGGCTTCATCTTCCTCATGGTCCTGCTATTCGTGTCCGGCGGCGACGCGGAAGCCATCATCTCTGCAGCTCCTGGCCCACTTCTACAGATCTTGTACAACGCCACAAGCAGCAAAGCTGGAGCCGCATGCCTCTTGATGTTCCCGTTGATTTGCATTCTCTTCGCGGAGATTGCCATCATGACTACATCTAGCCGCATGACATATGCATTTGCTCGAGATGGCGGCCTTCCATTCTCCAGGGTCTTTGCCAAGGTACATCCACGACTCGGCCAACCGCTCAATGCTCTGATCCTGGCTGCGACCCTAACCATCCTGTTTGGATTGATCTTGATCGGGTCCAGTAGCGCTTTCAACGCCCTCATCTCATCCTCAGTCGTCGCCTTGGGCGTCAGCTACGCCATTCCCGTCGCAATCAACGTCTGCCGCGGCAGGAAGATGCTTGGGCCTAGGGCCTTCGTTCTGCCTGGACCATTGGGCTGGATCGCCAACCTGATCGGTATCGCATACACAATCATCACCACCGTTCTGTTCCTCTTCCCGCCTGAGCTCCCTGTCTCAGCATCCAGCATGAGTAAGTTTCAGTATGAGTGTGCTTGGACCTCATTAACAACGCTAGACTACTGCGTCGTTGCTTTCGGCATCATACTGTTCATCAGTACCTTCCAATGGTTCATCGATGGGCGCAAGAACTTTACTGGGCCTCGAGCGGATGTTGATCTCGAGATCTTGGAAGCTATGCAGAGCAACGAGCCAAACGGTGCTTCGGTCCAACATTCTAAAGTCCCTTGTGACGATATCACCAAATAGTCTAAGTCGTCGCAGATAGCAATGTTGCATTTCTATACCCTTGCGCAATGCAGAGGCTTTTTTGTCAAGCCCGGATCCTGCTGCGTCACGATGCATTTAGTGAAAGCACGAACTAACTCTCCCACAATAGTATTGACACAACGTCATATGCAAGAGTCGAACCGCCACATTCACTACTCTTGGCATCGTTGTTGATGACGCTAAAGCTCCCGCGCCTAACGCACCATATCTCGACCTCTTGTCCACGACACTGTTCCACTCTCACCACCCTTTTTCGACACGCTACCCACTACTGTTAACTTTCTTTCCACACACTGTTCCACGAGAAAGCTATCCACCAATAGCAAAGATGATTAATTCCATCCGCAAGTTCTTGAGTTTCTGGAGCGCCGCCGACGCGAGTGTCACCACATCGTCCAACGACGCATCAACCAAGGATATAGCGACCGAGAGCACAGCGTACCGCGCCGCCTGCAATCACGCCACACCTCCTACACGGTACGCGAGCGGCGAGTTCAACACCACACCGTCTCCGCCACCCAATGCTGCGCTATCAGGATACCTGTTCTCACAAGTGAAGAACACCAACACGTCTACATCGAGAATCAGCAACATCCCGCCACCGCCATTTCCCATGTTTAGTGCGCCGACTGACAACGCGACCGACGACGCTTCTACCACATCGGACGACATCGATATGCCAGATGCAACGCCGATGTCACCTCTGACACCTCCAACAACACCTTCCCGTGATGGTGATGATATCCGCCGTTCGGTCGAGACACCAGTCCAAGAAAACGTTTACGGTGCAACCGCCGAAGTCGATGACACTAGCGAGCCGCGCAACGACACGACACCACCTCCATCTCCGGAACGCGACAGTGCTCGTTCTCAGCCACCGCGCCAACGCACGACAACTACATCGGCGCCCGCGCCAAACTGGCTGGACGAGATCGTCATCGAAGAAGACATCCCCGAGAACAACCTCCCAGTCGGCTACCTGGGTACACTCCGTGGAAGCCGGCACTTCATCCCCGAGTACCCCGGTATGAAACGATGCAGCAACCAGGTCGCGCACCTCCTCCTCTGCGGCCACTGGATCGATAGCGCCGAGCCCTGTGGCGGCAACTGCAAGAAGCAAGACCACAGCCACAAGCAGTTCAAATGCCCAACCTGCAACGACATCGTCCGCAACATCCTCACAGGATCCTTCCGACTGGCCGACTCGCTTCGCCTCAGGGAGTTCAGGAAGCAGAAAGATGTTAAATTCCTGGCCTGCTGTGTCGAGCAGGTTGTTCGTGCTGCACCTGAACTCAAGACGGGTGTTACGGAGGCTGTGGCCAGCTTCGCCTACCCGGATTCTGGGCGTGCGTGTGAGGCGGCTGAGAATCCTGATCCGCGGGGTCATGATACTATTGAGGAGATTGTGCGCGATATGCAAGAGCGACATGAGCGCAAGCAGCGCGAGAGGAGGGCGAGAGAGGAGGAGTTGAATACGCACGAGAAACGTGGTAGGGACGAGGATGCGACGAATGAGCCTACCGATGCGAAAACTCACACGGACCGGGACACCGCTGCGGACCATAAGCATTCACGAAACGGCTCCTCCGCGGATGACGACGAGACGCAAAACACCCCACCCCCTACCAACAAAAAGCGCAAGACGTCCCTTGAAACCCACCGCGAGCCCATCACACCATCTACCCGCGGCACGAAGCGTCGCTCGCCCTTCTCTCCCTCCCCACCATCTCCCTCTTCCTCCGACCCCAACGCCTCACCCTTCGCCTACCTCCCCACCCCCAGCTCTCCTTCTCCATCCATGCCCTCACCACCGCCGCATAAACGCGTCTTCACCAAGCCCGATCCCGCGTTCGGCGAGGCTAGCTTCGTCATCGCGCCTACTCATGTCGTTGGGCCGCTTATGCGGAAGCGACATGCTGACGTTTATGTCGAGGGGGCTATTGAGCGGGAGAGTAAGCGTAGGAGGAGTCGGGCTCCTAATACAGAGAAGGAGAGTGGTGTAGAGAACGGGATGGGGAGCGAGAGGACGAGGGCGAAGAGTTTTGAGTCATTTAGGAGGGCGTGGGATGACAGGGATGAGGAAGAGGAGGGGGACTGTGAGCTTTAGGGGCTGGTCTAGAGTTGTGGAGTTACAGGATTAGGGGAGGTGTTGATGACGGACGTCGTTGATGGTTCTGCGATAGCTAAGGCTGTTTGAGGTGGTATGTTTGCTTGCACACGTTTTGTAGTTATTCTTTATGCGGTCGGTGACATTGAGATTCTGCGTACCATCGCGCATGAATTAAAAATACGTGGTAGTATTATCATCGAATTGGCTATTACGATAAGGCAGGCTGGATCTCGTTGCTCACTGTGACTGGTGACTTCAGTGACATCTCCAGGGTTACTTTCAAGGCTGTAGATATGGCCTTAACAGTAGCATGATATACATCAAGGAAGCTTAGTCTCATTGAAACGATGCTTAGCTACATGTGAAGGGCAACACCCGCTCCGTCGACAGATAATGGCTGACGTCACGACCTCCTTCCGTGGTGATACATGTGCTCCCTTACTTCAACCGCTTGCCATCACCTCACATTCGGCTTCCTCGGCGATCACTTCGGCCTGCTGCTGTCGCATCAGCGGACACTGCAGGCGATCCATTTGCGGCGACAACTGCGGTCCGCAGGTTCTCGGTCGCGGCATCCTGCTTTCAGCCACGATATTCGGGATCGCCCGTATGGCTGATTGCGCGGGGTTGACGCATCGCGACGGTCAACACGCCTCCCCAGAATTGGAGGACGCGCGACAGTGATGGACTCGGTCCGGTCCCGAGCAGCATGTTCAGCGATGCCGTCAAATCGTGAGTCTGCGAGTCCGTGGTAGAGCCGGTGCTGCTAGCGAAGTGTGCAGAAGCCAAACCGGATGCAAGGCATCTTACCAGCATGAAGTAGCCTGCTTCTCTGAATGTACTCAACAATACCGATGATGAAGTTCCTCGCGATGCAAGAATCCAGAAGATGCAGAGCATGATGTATTCACGCTCGAAGCTCTTGTTCCAAGCCAAGTCAACGGATTCCTCGCCTGCGCCCGCACTGGATCGCCGTTCGCGACTTCGCACCTCCGACCGACTTTCGCATCCTAAGCGCCCGACCATCTACGTTCACGCCACCGAAGCAAGGCATACCGCGACACGATTTCGGGACGGTACCCTTGACCTCCGGCTACGTTCGTGGAACCTCTCGGCATGCCTTGTTCCGACTATGCGCAGCGTCCGAAAATATTCTTGCCTGAACAACGCTATCCCGCACACGACCTGACGGATGACAGGGGTAGCGCGATGTGTAGAGTTCGGTCTGAGGTGGGGTGGAACGGTGGCTCGAAGCATACGGTAAGCTAACGGCGATCATGGCTGTGATGAATCTCTAGCGCTTCTGCTAACCTCTATCTAGCTTCGACACCCATTTTCTCTACTGTACCCCCGCATTGCGGAGATTGGATGGGAGGCCAGACGCACTCTGCGAATCCTGAAACGAACGAACTTGTACAACCTTTGCTGGCTTCGGCTTACGTGGGGTGCGACTTTTGCCCACATCAAGCGCATCAACGGCAACCTAATCCTATGTACCTTGGAGGAATCGAGATAGCAACGGAAGTTCGCGTCAAGGCAGTGTGACCGTCTTTGGGGCCTTCTCGGAAGTCCTGTATCCTAGATGAGCGCGCGCCCCGGGTCATCCCCGTCTCACACCTCCGTTAACAACGAGCACCATGCAGGCTTCGGTGCGGTCAATCTACGTTATACTCAATTCGGCAAGGCTTCATCTGGAGATCTTGACGCGGAAGCGCGCCCTGCGTCTGTCATTCGCCTGCTTCGCTCTGACAGCTGCTCGCGTGCACCCATGCAATGCCACAACAGAGTTGCGCGACGATAGTCAGATACCTACAGGGACCGTTGGCTATCATTATCGGGTCCCCAGTTGACCGTAGACCGGTGTACGCAAAAGCAATGCTGGTACACGATGCCCGCTGATCCTGTTTGGCCTAGCGAAAGAAGAAATCAAGATGGATAAGAGAACGTCTTTCGTACGCACGCAGGTCAATTTCTATTGTATAGATCCGTAGCACTGGTTTAAGTACCGTGCCGACAGCATTTCCGCACCGAGTCCTCAATCGACTGATCGCACTCCTAAGCTTCAACTGCTCGTACTGCAACTACATCAGCTTTATTGTCTCTGGTCTGAGCGACTACATCGCAACATGGCTTCGTTCGCCTATGCATTCTTGTTTGCAATCGCCCTCCTAGTAGCAAAGGTAGTGCAGCGAAGACATCACTCCCGCAACCCAGCACTAACAACCACAGTTCCTCTACGTTGGTCTTACCTGTCGGACGAAGCATCTTCCGGGTCCCTGGTACACTCGATTTACACACTATCGCTTGAAGCGCGCAGTTGTAACAGGGCAGCGTATCTTCTACATCGACTCCCTGCACGAGCAATATGGTCCCATTGTACGACTATCGCCAAACGAGGTAGCCGTTGCAGACCTCGACGCTTTCAAAGAGATTCACAAGATCGGCACCAAGTACATGAAGAGCGAATGGTACCTCCGACTTGCGAACTTCCCCAAGGCAGGTGTGTTCACCATGCTTGACCCACGTGAGCACGGACCGCGGAGGAAGCTGTTGTCGAGATCTTTCAGCAGGACGTACCTTGTCGAGCATTGGGAGTCAGTCGTCAGGGACAAGGCGCTCATGGCTGTTACGAAGATCAAGGCGGATGCTACACAAGCAACAGCCGACGTGTACAACTGGTGGATGCTTCTTGCCTCGGACGTTAGCGCTCACCTCGCATTTGGCGACTCATTCAACATGCTGGAATCGGGAGAGGTACGAAGATGCGACTATGAATGCCATATCAGCGCTGACAAGTCGTAGCAAAACCAATTCATGCGCGTGCTGAAGAAGCTGACAATGGGCGCTGGCATCATGGTCGAGATGCCATTCCTCCGCCTCCTGCGCTTCGTCCCAGTCCCAGCGATCCAAGAGATGTTCAACGCAAACGAGTTCATCCTCGCCGGCGCAGGCAAAGCCGTCGAAACAGCACGCTCACGCACCGGCGAAAACAACATCTTCGCAAAGGTCATCGAGGACTGCGAGAAGGAAGGCGAGGGCCACATCGACGACATGGACGTCAGAATCGAAGCCATGAACGTCATCATTGCAGGTACCGATACGACAGGCGTGACCCTGACGTACCTCACATGGGCGGTGCTCCAACGACCGGAGCTGCAAGCGGCGCTCGAGGCTGAGACCGCGGCGCTAGCGCATGACTTTTCCGAAAACGATCTCATCAAACTTCCGCTGCTCAACGCCGTTATTGAAGAAACGCTCCGACTTTATGGTGCGGCGCCAAGTAGTCTGCCGAGAGTGGTACCTCAAGGTGGCACCAAGTTCGCTGGTCATTACATCCCACAAGGCGTCACGGTCGATACGCAAGCCTACACCTTGCATCGCGACCCCAAGATCTGGAGCGACCCTCTGACGTAAGTCGTGCCCTCACACTTCCACTTCATCGCGCAATACAAGCTTACCCCGGCTAGTTTCAACCCACAACGCTGGATCGCCGACAAGGAAATGGTGCCTGAAGCGCAATCGCCCGAGGCGAAACTTGCTTTCCATCCTTTCGGCGCCGGCGCCCGCTCGTGTATCGGTATCCATCTCGCGCGCATGGAATTGCGATACGCGACTGCGTTCTTCTTCCGCGAGTGCCATGGTATACGGTTGGCGGCTAGCACGACATCTGAGAGTATGGAGTTTGAGGTGAGTTACTCATGCGTTTGTGGGGTGTGTGTGTGATACGTAAGCTAATATCTGGTGCTATTTAGAACTTCTTCCTCATCGCACCGAAGGCGCATCGGTGTGAGATCACGTACAAGCAGGGGCGTTAGTAGAGAGATAAAGTTTCACAACGGCATGATAGTGTAGACAGTGTGTAATGTTTGAATCAGATTGACATGATGAAAAGAGCGTCTAAGAGCGCAGTGTTCGTGTTCGTATCCGTGATCGCGATTAACGTCACTACGGGGCGCCTAACGCCATGCTCATGCCATATATCCCTCACTATCGTCCCAGTCTCCCATGTAAATCAGCTTCCTTCGTGTACCTCGCCATCCGTCATATAGATGCGTCAGACTGCCGGCGTGTTAGCTTGGATTATCCCGGGAGCGTGTATGTGAGGTACTTACCGTATTGTATGATTTACAAAACAGTGCAGACAACACCGTGCTCACGCGCCTTGTCCATCTTGACGAGTTTCTTGTTGTACTGCTCTTGTGTCTCTTCTTCGTCCGCATGGGCAGCGGCAGTTCGGACGGCTTGTGCGGCAGCGACAGCAGAGGCGATTTCAGCAGCGGCGGCGGCAGCAGTAGCGGCATCTCCAGCGGCCATGGCGGCATCAAGAGCGGCGAAGGCGGCACGCGGTGGGTGCATGCAGTGGCCTTCTGTGTCGACCATGCCGGCGGAGGCAGGTGCGACGGTGACGGTGTTGGCGGAGTTGGTTGAGTCGGTAGGGTTGAGGGTGGTGACGGGCGCGGCGACGGCGGCTCTGGCGGCGGCCGCGATGAGGAGGATGGTTGGGATGTGCATTTTTGTGGTTTGGTGGGTGTGATCGGGTTTGGGTAGGTGCGTTGTAGTCTTGGGTTGGGTTTAGGAAGGTAGCTTGCAGTACGTGTGTGATCTTGCGTTGTGTGAAGTGTGAAATGAGGTGAAGGAGTGATGGAGGAGGGAAGTGGAAAGTGAGATGATATAGATGGGAAGTTGTGTGGGAGGCGCTAAGCTACTTTTCCCCAGTTTGGAAGCGACGAGGGTGCGAGCGTTTGGGGATACGGGGGAGCGTGGGGATGAGTGGGTGGGGAGGGAAGGTGCGATGGTATGATGGTACTGTATGGGGCGAGCTAGTGCGGTGGCTATGGCGGCCATTCATGGTGAGAGTGTTGCGGATGGGTGAGATGAGCTTTGTGCGCGATGCGCAAGTATGGGGTATGGTTCGCTGGTAATTAGGGGGTGCGATTTCCATAGTTGGATGTATCGTGTTCTTCAGGTGTGGAGATGCGCGCTTTTCGCGAGGTGTTGGAAACTACGGTCGCTACCAACCTGGCTTGATACATCACGAACATGACTGGGTAGCTGGCAAACGATATTATCGGAGAACTTCCAGTCGCTTTACGCAGCCATGGTATGCTTCTCGGTTAGCAACGAGCGGCACGATTGCGATGGTCGCGAGGGTTGTATTCTCCAGAGGTAGAGATGTGGGTTCTCTGGGAGGTAAGGTGAACTATTGTCGCCGCCAGCCTGGCATGAGATATCAGATACTTTATTGGACGGCTAGGGAGTACCTCTCTCTACACGCTTCCAATTTTCGAGAGCTTGAGTATGCATTGTGGGTGCAATAGATCTAAGTGGTTGGGTGGGATTACATTTCAAGGGTAGCGAAGAGGTTTTTGGGATTTGTGACCACACACACCACCAACATAATTTGGTGCGCTACCACAGCAGAAAGTCAGAATATCTCTATATAAACCTCTTCATCACTCCCAACTACTTACAAAATTCCATCTTCATCCCAAGACATCTACAACAAAGTGTCTCAAAGTCAAAAATCGAAGCAAAATGCCTGCTCTCACCACATCCGTAAGCATTTCATTTCACAACTGTTTCATGAAGTATAAACTAACACGTCTGGTCTCTTCTCAGACCACCCCGGCAGGTTTTACATATACCTCCGTCATCCTGCCTCCCAGCGGGATGCCCATCCCCCAGGTCACCGTGGCCGACGAGCCTACCTGGCCCGAGGTCACTGCCTGGTCCACCTCCGTCATCCTGCCTCCCAGCGGGTTCCCCGTCCCCATGGTCACCGTGGCCGACGAGCCTTCCGAGGCTACCACCACCGCTGCCGCCGCTGTTCCCGAGGACAGCACTGACGCTACCACAGTCATTGTGGAGACAGACGAGGCTTGGGAGGCTAAGCTCCTCGAGGACATGAAGGTCGCTGTAAGTCATACTTTGAATGGGCTTGATGTGGTACTTGCTAACCATTATCTAGTCGATGAAGCGGACCCAGCGCAAGGAGAACAAGAAGAGGTGCGGCAAGAAGCGGTGCTCTCCTTGCGTTATGATGTAGGTTGTCTGCACTGGCGAGGCAGAACTGGTTGGGAGGGATAATGGAAGGAGGTCCCGTGATTTGCTAGATTTCTTGTGTGATTCCTGAATTCATATCTATTGTACCGCTGAGGAGCTTCTTCTGCATGACTGATACCGTGAGCTTGATCGTTGGTGACGGTGAAGGTTGTTGCCACCGGCCGGGATGCCAATTCGCCAAAAAAGATAGCCCCGCGGAGCTAGCGCCGCTTACTAATGTTGCTGCCTGATGTTATGCACCTGGCTTGCGACACCTCCGACGGTCACTCCGCATCGCCATGGCAAAGCTCACTGATCTATCCAACGAACTGCTTTATTCCATCGTCGCGCATCTTGAGACAGGCCACTGGTCGGATGTCAGAGCACTATGGCGGTTATGCAAAACATCCCGCGCCCTGGCAGCTGTTGCGCAACCAGCGCTCTACACCTGCGTGGTACTAGGACAGTCGATGCCCGAGACCATGAGATCTCTTGAGCTTTTCTTACGGACCTGTGTCGAACGCCCCAAGCTCGGAAAGAAGACGCGATCGCTCACTTTACATTACCATCGACCAGCCCCGTATAGAGGACCTGACCTTATGCGCCGTCCCACTTTCGACAGATTATTGGCATTATTCGAAACTCAGAATCTCGATAGCGAACGGAGCATGTTGTATCAGACGCTTGTGTTATGCACACTTCTTTGTCTGCCCAATCTACGGCATCTTCGTATGGATACACACAATCTGCCCCCTCGCGGACTACTGCAAGGGATGCATGCGATGAGAGCTTCGAGTGATGCCTTCCTCGCCAATTTGGAGACGTTCCATCTGTAAGCATCGCCGACTCCCGCTCATGTCGCTCTCGCTCATTAACCTGCAGGCACAAGCATTTCGATAACCAGCCAATCAACATAGTCGACTACATCCCGCTCCTGCGATACCCATCGTTCACTTCATTCTCTACCGAGAACGAAGCATCGGCTGGTAATGATGCTCATCCTGCCACGAACGTACTGACACCATCGGCGATTGAATTGTGGTGGAGTCTTGGGCCACTCGCTACAATGCGACAAGCTCTAGATGCATGTCTGCGCTTGGAAACGTTCAGATTCATAATCCCAAACGACAGGCGTTTTGGGGGTGTGTTGCCAGACGACATAGGGAGCCAACCCCTCGTCACTCCACGAGATCTGGGGATCGCGCTACTGGAAAAGCATAAAGCAACTCTAAAGACTCTGGAATTGCATTTCAACAGCCACTACGATATGCGCGATGCGTGGTTTCAAGAAGACATCGAACTGCACGGCGAAGACTCGTTACACTACGTGTACCCCTCTTTCCGCGATTTTGAGATGCTATCGCACATAATGATCCAGTTTGACAAGCTTACGAACCTCTGTCACCTACCAGAGTCGTTGAAATATCTGAAATTGCAGGACTGCTATTTCGACACCGAGTTGAGCGAAGATTGCCTTCGTGGTATGCTAAAGCTTAAGGACACATGGTGTCCGCTGATCGAACAGCTGTCTCTTCAAGGTTATAATTTGTTAGACGCCATCGACATGATACGGGAAGTCGCGAGATCCCTGGATTTGCGGATCTCTGAGTTCCTTGGCAGAGGTCTTGTCTGGTTCCCCGACCTCTGGTTTGACATGGCGATACATTGTCACCTTTTTTGAGGGTGCATGGCTTCATGACTGCTGCTGATATCTGAGATGTATTAAGGGAACATACGGGGGCCCAGAGCGAGCAAAAGGGTTTTACAAGCCACAGCTGCATTACGATAATATATCGTGTTGTGTAATCGCGACTGTGCTTGGGCTCAAGCATCAAGATATCTTGGAGAACGAAGAATATGCGAATTGGTAAATTGTATAAGCTTGTCATCTAAAGAGGAGAGTGTGTAACACGTTGTTGATCAAAAGGCACGGTCTGGCCGCTTACACGGTATGCGAAAGGTGTTCGTTGAATCAGACGAATCGAACCAGTCGTCATCGTCAATACATCCTCCAGAACAGGCGCGAGCGCCTCACCGAAGAAGCCCTGATGGAAGGCGCCGATCTCCAGATATCTGACATGTCTCGTGATAGATCTATTCTTGTCTAGTATGCATTGCAGCAGGTTCTTAGTTACTTTCTGCAACCAAAACTCTTCCTGGACAACAATAGCTTGATCAAAGTACAGGTCGGCGGTTCTTCCAAATCCAAGCTCGAAGAAATCTAGATGGGTTTTTAGACGGATGCTACGAAAGAGTAACATGTCGGATTCGTCGCGGCACACTCTGGACACACATCGCAGTGAATACAGCGATTTCGCATCGTCGTCGTGAAGCTATGCCGGCTTTAGTCAATCGCAGGTTCGGCTTAGAAATGAGGGCGCTTGCTGTCTCTACGATCATGCAAAAGACAACCAATGGTAGCCCCAGCAGATCGTGCGCTGGCATGGTTGGTGTCTCGCGTACGAAGCTGCTGTTGGGGATTGCCGGGTCAGTTCGACTTTTGGTCTCCGAGGAGGTAGATGATGACCGACAGGAAGATTGTGTGGCTACTTGGGCGCGTCATTCAATGCATAAGGTGAGCGCAAGAATCTGATAGGTAAATTGGAGATATTGGCGATTGTTCTGGGCTGAGGCATGCGACGTGTTGGAGGTGTGAGAGCTGACCGTTCACCACCGCGCTAGTCCTGGTCTGGTAAAGCGTCGACCCTGCAAGCGCGGGGATCCACAAACCACATCTCACCCGCAGCCTTCCCTTCAGCGCTCCCTCACCACCTGGGCACGACTGCCCTCCTTCCTGGATATCTATCATGTGCTGCTCTTAGTGTCAAAAAGGATGGCAATCGCAAACTCTTTGCATGGCGTCTGATGCGATCTGTCCGGTGGACAGGTCCGCCCCGATCACGAACCACTCCCGCGGCCCGTCATGCCAGGCCTCGATCTTCCCGTGGATCACTTGTGTGTCTGGCTGCATCTAAGTCATGCACCCGCTCATCGAAACGCCGGGGTACTTCTCGCTTAGGTTATCGTTGCGCAATACACTAGCTTGATCTTTACGCTGTACAGAAATCCCTTTGGAGATCTCCAATCCCGACATCGAATAATCTCTCCATATATCCTCCCTTTGAAAGGGTCGATCGCTCACCGTTCGGCAGGCTCGAGTGGCTTGTGTCCTTTGGAAGGGTGCAAAAGTATGACTATGCGAACTGCTACACCGTCGACAGGGTGGCGTTCATGAAGTTACGCAGTCTTTACTTGAGGTCCCCACCATGTCTCGAAGGAGCTATCTCTTCATCCTTGCTGTCTTGTTGAATCACCCACATTAGCGAGGCGGTTTGTTTGTTCAATATGATGCATCCAATCGAGGCTGGACTGCAGGTCTGGATAATCGCTTTGTCCGCCAGCTCGATCGCAATATCTACTATTGCGGTCATCTTACGACTTGTTGCCAAGTACGTTCGCAAACGATTCGACGGCAGCGACTATTGCATTATTGGGGCCTTGGTATTGCATACTTGTTTTCTTTTTTAACAGCATATTCAGATGCATGGTATCCAGATACTGAAATCATGACGCAAAGCAGAGGGGCTGATCTGACTTGATTTAGGTGTTCAATACAGCACTCAGCGCCAACAACATATACCTCGCCCTCTACGCAGGCTTTGGTCTCGACCTCAGAACCATAGTAGTGCGTTACGGCATCGAGGTTAGATATGTTCTGTCGAAAGGCACCTTGATTATGGTCATCACTTGGCAAATCACTGCCTGCCTGTCTAAGATCTCGGTCCTGCTCATGTACGCCACAATCATACCCAACGCGTCCATGCTCAAGATCACTCGCTATTTGGGTGCAATCATTGCTATCTGGACAGGAGCGGATCTGATCGCGGTGTTATCAATTTGCAGACCATTCGAATTAGCATGGACGAGCCCAAGCAAATGTCATGACCAGCCTTTGCTGTATTTCATCATGGGCTTACTAAATTTGCTAATAGACGCAGTCATCATTGCACTTCCGATGCCGTATCTAATCCGTTTACGAATGTCATGGCGTCGAAAGCTGGTCGCAGTTATCTTGTTGGGGATGGGTATAGTGTACGTATACGAGACGGACTTTCATCGGCTACAATGTGCTGACACGAGCCCTAGGACGTGGGGTATCACCATCTACCGTCAGAAGATCATGTGGCGTCTAGAATGGACAAAATACGAGCGATATCCGGACATGGTCTTCGCTATGATACTGAGTGGCCTGGAGACCGCAGTTATGATAGTAGTGGCTTGCATACCGCTCATGCGTCCTCTCTTTTCGAGAAGCGAGACTCGTAGGCCACCAAACGTACGCCACTACGAGGATAATCTCAATGCAGGGACGCATCTGGGGAAACGAAAGAAAAAGGCGGCTGCTAAGCTTCCTCGATTGCTCCACCCGCCATCCTGGTTTGACAGCAAGGACGTCGATGCGCAGGTTGAGCTGCAGACAGGAAAACTTGTGCAGGTGCTGGTTGCGGAGCCTACCAACACTCATCACCGTTCAGGCGTCCCGGAAGCTACTGTCGCGGACCAAAAAACATGGTCAGCGCCAGAATCCTGGCATGCATCCGAGGGAGATCGTAAGCCGGGTCTACACGAGCCAAACTTCGTGCATGCAGATGCGCTTTGATGCGACTGGGAGGCTGCTCGTCAGATCCAACCAAGACTGAAAGTTACTGTCATTATCATTCTATTGGAAGCGCGTCATCTTGAAAAGACTCTTTGTTCGTACCATTGCTCGTGAAGAAGCTGTGCAGGCTGTGATCGTTTATAGAATGTTCATGCCGTGAATACATCAAACCTCCCGAGGTCGTGCGGCAGGCGTGACACTATGGCACCTGATAGATACGTTACTTATCCTAGTTCTGGAGGAGATGCCATTAGGCGAGATAAATTCTAGAGGCAGATTCGTGCATGGTAGTCAACTGGTGATGACATGGTGGTTGCACGTGTTTGCGCGTCGCGTGTTTTACG